GTCCTTGCTCAATGGGAGTGCTTAAAAGTTCATTACATTTTAGAGTAAAAGAGGGGGAATTGGAGTATCTCAGAAGGGTCAAAGAGACTTCATGCAATGAGATCTACTTTTAATACCTATACCTCCTCATCTTGCCATTCTTGTGCTGTAAAATTCCAACCCTGAATCAGGTCTACAATGTACTGTTTAATGTTTGTCTGCCCCAGTAGACTGTAAACATCTCAGAGGTGGGGATCTTGTCATTGTTCTAGCACATACAAGGCCCTCAGCCATTTAAACTTAACTACCTTAAATATTTAAACAATTTGTGGAAGATTTAGAAGTTAAAAGCAAAATAAGACTAGTAAGATCAGGTGCACACTGGCAATTTATGCTATCAGTGGTTAGTACATAATCATGTGCCCATTCCCATTTTTATGTATCCTGGGAGTTATATCTAAAGTTTGTTTTAGCTAATAACAATAGGTAAAAATGCCATTTTTGAGTCCAGATTGGCTTTTGCTTCCAGAATGTCTTTTTTCTTCCTATTCTTTGTGAGGTTGAATACCCCAGTGCTACCATTCTACCCTGGAAATAAACTTTTTGGGACACATATTTTAAACTTTTTTTTTGTCGTTTTTTGGTTGTATACTCTTCCTGCTAAATTATACATTTATTGAGCATTTTTATATGACCAATGTCTAGCTCACTGAAGATGCTTAATGTGTGGGTGAATGGATGGATGAATGAGTGTAGTTTTGGGGGCTGGGTGATAGGCAATTCTGGAGGTTGTAGCACTAACAAAATTTTCTGCTATTGGAGCTCTTCCAATATGGTTGGCGAGAGCTTCTGTCACTGTCTTAATAGACTTAACCTTCTCCCCCTTCATACACTCTTTAAGGACATTTTTTTCTCCAGCTCTACCGCCATATTATCTCTGTCTTATGTGGCATGCTCTTATCCTGCAGCTGTTCACATTTTATAGTAATGATTTCTTTGTGTCTTTCTCCATCTGTGGTCATTCTAGAGACCAGTGTTTAATTTGTCCTCAGTATCACTAGAGTTTAGCACAGGATAGAGGACATACTAGAGGCATTTGATTAATACTGAAAGAATATAAGGGAGGGCAATACTGGGCTCTGTAGTCTTAAGTGTAGAGGGATTGGAAAGCCACTGTTTTGCAACCATGTTCTTCAAGCTTGGTTTGAGCAAGAATTGTCAGTGGGTACTAAATCTAGGGCAGAGAACTTGAGCAGGATACTTGCCTGGTCTCAGCCCTGTCTGCCCACCCATAGCTGATTAATTGCAAGATGAAAAGTTTGCAACCATATAGTGGAGAAAAGCTGGACAACCCCTTGACTGAGTATGTAAAATTAAAATGACTCGCAAGGGCAGACAGATGTCATGTGTCTCTGGATGTAATACCAGGAAGGGCACATCAGCACTTCTGTGATATTCCTGCCCCAAAAGGGGCAACCTGGGTCTAATTGTGAGTGGACCTGAATTGAGAGAATAGCATGAAATAACTGGCCTCTGTATTTCAAAAAGAAAGACAGGCTGAAGAGCTGTTTCTGATTGAAAGAGGCTAAAGAGCCATGACAGCTAAAGGTAGTATATGATTCTGAACTGATTTCTGACACGGTGAAAGGTAAACATGCCCTAGAGGGCATTATTGGGACAAATGGAGAAACTGGAATATAGAATGTAGATTCAAGTATTTCGGTATTAAATTTCTTGAATTGGTAACTTGTGTTTATATGGAAGAATATCATTCTTAGAAATACACATTCTGATATAGGAAAAATGCATATGTGTAAATAATTTACCACATTTATTATTACTTTGCAAAGCTGGAGAAAGGATATTTGGAAGTTCTATTCTTAGAACTCCTATAAATTTTGAATTATATCAAAAGATTAAGTCTCCCTTAAGCCATGTAGCAGAGAAATTTCAATAGTTTCCACTGTTATTTCACTTTATGTAATTTTGGAAAGTCTCCTGATGTGTATTCCTCCCTCTTTAATACAGGGAATCAAAGACTCCATCTGGGGAATTTGTACCATCTCAAAGCTCGATGCTCGGATTCAGCAAAAGAGAGAGGAGCAGCGTCGAAGAAGGGCAAGCAGTGTCCTGGCACAGAGGAGAGCCCAAAGTATAGAAAGGAAGCAAGAGAGGTAAGCAGCGGGGGCTGATGTCAGAAAATATCTGAGGGGGAGGGCGCTTCAGAAAGTGGCTGGTCCTTAGTGTAGAATGAAGACCTTATATAGTCACTTAGAGTTTCAGTACCCCCTTTGTTTTTTGTACTTTTTTCCAAAAAAAATGTTACGGGTGACTCTTTTTTTTTTTTCCCCACATTAAATTAAACTAGGGTCTACTAATAATGCTTGTTCAGAATGTCATGGTGTTTTGGGGCACCTGGGTGGCTCAGTTGGTTGTTTCTGACTCTTCAGTTTGGCTCAGGTTGTGATCTCAGGGTCGAGGGATCCAGCCGTCTCCCCCCCCATCAATCAATCAATCAATCTTTTAAGAAATTAAAAAAAAAGAATGCAGAGATTTATATAAACTGACATTTAAAAAATAATGTCATGGTGTTTTAAAAAGACAGAATGGTGAATAGAGAACTGCAAATAATAATTACAAGAATCTGTTTTCCTAGAAATATTTTTCTTTAATGTTCATGTATTTTTGAGACAGAGGGGGAGAGAGTGCACAGGAGAGAGCGCTCCCAGGCGAGTTGAGGAGGGGCAGAGCAAGAGGGAGACAGATCTCCGAAGCAGGCTCTGTGCTGAGCCCAACGCAGGGCCTGAACTCAGGAACCATGAGATCATGACCTGAGTCGAAGTCGGACATTTAACCGCCTGACCAACTGAGCCACTCAGGAGCCCCTAAGAAATATTTTTAACCATTTCTTATTGACACTGGGAGAACATTGAGAGAACAGTAGGTGCTGGAAAAATAATGGTAACCAACAAAAGGTAATGGTGAGTGAGTGAGTGAATGATGATTTGGAAATGGCCTGTGTGCCATATTAGCTGAATGCATGTGGTCTTTTCCAGTGAGCCGCGTATCGTTAGTAGAATTTTCCAGTGCTGCGCTTGGAATGGTGGAGTATTCTGGGTGAGTTCTTTTTCCTCAAATGCCAGGTGCCTTACAAGCATCTTCAGATTGTTGCTCTCTTAATAGCTTTCAATTCTTTTCTTGAAACTGAGACAAGTAGATTTCACCTACTGATACATGCTTAAACCATAACTGGGAATCTGTGCATCTGCAATGATTTTATTTCCACTCAACCCTTGTATGTAAATGTCAGGGATAGCCCTGAATATACACTTTATTTTTAAAAAACGACTCATTCACAAGTTTTAATGTTAGCGGTAACAGTTTCTCTTGACATGGGGCATTTTGGAGAAGAGCAGCTATCAGAAGGGAAAGGCAGAAGGACAAGAGCAAGGTTATCCTTGCACCTGGTCTTATCATTCTACTAGAATTGATGACTATTGAAAACCCACACCAGAAAATGTTGCCTAGAGTTAACTGAGAGCCAACACGGGCTTAAGCGAAATTTGAGTACTTTGAAGAACGGGTAGTGAGATTTTTTTTTTTTTTGGACTTGGAATTCCATGTAATCCAACTTGTCTTAATCCAAACATTTCACAGATGTTTTCGGATGTTTGCTTAATAAAATATTACTATGTATTTAGTATGTGCCTGTATTTTGGTCTGAATATTATTTAAAATGTTTGTCTGTGTCCCTAAGACCCTCTGTTTTTACAAGCAATGTCAGGTTTGTACCTTAGAGAAGGACTAGGCTGTAGAAACGGGTCCAGTTTTGGTGCCTCTTCAGGGCTCCTTGAAAAGGCACCTCCATCTGGAAAATGACACTGAAACTTGGAACTCTTTTTAAAGAAGAGCTTTTAATGTTTACTTTATTCTTTCCTTTAGTTAAGTCTCCTCTTGTTTTATCGAGTGTTTATTCCTGTACTCCAGTCAGTAACAGCCCAAATTATTGGTAAGTATATGCATTGCTGTGTGCTGCGTGCCTGGGGCAGAGGTACAAGGGATTGTCCCTGTCTCCCTCAGTTTACCGAACACTTCCCTGTTCCAGGAGCTTTAGCTGTTTTTAGCTCAAGCCTGTCAACAACCCTTTGAGTGGGTACTGTTACCAACATCATTTTCGTGGATGAGAAAATGGAAGTTAGTTACCCGAGGTTAAACTATTAGTAAGGGGCCGAGCTGGGATTTAAACCCAGGTAGTTTCCTTTATACTGTGTACTGTCAAAGGTCTGTGATGTGTCAGTCAGCACCCGGTAAGCGGGTCTGTCTCAAGGTAAGCAGCACATATCTAGGACTACTCCAATGAGAGCTGTGGCTAGAATTTGATGTGTCTACGAAGAGGAAAACTATCTGAAGTAGTCATGGTCGTGTGCTGGAAAGAAACACAGGGTGTGTGTGTGTGTGTGTGTGTGTGGTGAGGGAGAATAGTCACCAACTAGGGGGTTCCATATTCGGTCTTTTTTGTTTTTCATTTCTCCAGTTACAGTGACAACTCTCTTTTCCCCTTTCTTAGGTGATCCATCACTACATGGAGATGTTTGGTCGTGGCTGGAATTCTTCCTTACGTCCATTTTCAGTGCTCTTTGGGTACTTCCTCTGTTTGTGCTTAGCAAAGTTGTCAATGCCATTTGGTTTCAGGTAGGTCCAGGAGAGAATGGAGTCTGGGTGCTGCCGCATGATGGGTTGGTGGGTGGCAGGTTTTATCCTGTGAGTGGTGGCCATGCAGGAACGATTTCGTAGCCTTAACCTTTGTCGGTCATGCAGCCAGTGGTGATTTTTGTGCTCTTGTAAAAAAAAAAATGGAATTATTGTCGCAGTCGCAAAAGCATCTCATGGCCAGATGTCCGGGGGCTTTTCTCACCTGGCGGATCTAATGGTAGATCAGTGGCCTTAGCTTTGGGAATGGATAGTGAAGCCGTCTTATTCATGTTTTGGTGAGCTGCTTTCTCTGTTACAGGACATAGCCGACCTAGCATTTGAGGTGTCAGGGAGGAAGCCTCACCCATTCCCTAGTGTCAGCAAAATAATTGCTGACATGCTCTTCAACCTTTTGCTGCAGGCTCTTTTCCTCATCCAGGTGAGACTGGCCTTCTGGGTACATGGGCAAATTTTGAAAAAGGATTCACCAGAGGGAGCTTCACAAAGACAGGGTGTTGCATTTATACGGGGGCAGATAAGCTTTATGGGAGGTAATGCTTTTTAAATAATTTTTTCACAGAAACAAATAGAGAATTTAAAAATCCTAAAATGATAAGCAACACGAACTTACCAGCTCTTCCTTGCTCATGGGCATTGTCCACTCTCCTGCTGTTGAGACCCTTACGGAGCATCTGTGAGGCTATCTAGGCAGAGGGGGAGGACTCAGTGGCAGGTGAATAGTGTTAGTTCTCTGAAGTGTTGGAATTAAGATTCTCCATATTTGTTCTTCAGGGGATGTTTGTGAGTCTCTTTCCCATCCACCTTGTTGGTCAACTGGTTAGTCTTCTGCATATGTCCCTTCTCTACTCACTGTACTGCTTTGAATATCGTTGGTTCAATAAAGGTGAGTCTGTGTAAAGAAACTCGGAAGTAGGATGTCCAGTCCAGAAGTGCTGCAAAGCAGACTTCTTAAACTGTTCAATACTTAGGCCATTGGCAAACCATCTTTGGAAGGAAGTAGCCTCTTTGGCAAGAGAGAATTTTCACTTAAGGGGTTTTAACCCTTAACTTTGATGCTGGATGATATGGCAATGTAACATTGTCTTTATGCCGCTTAATTTGATGTAGCTCTGACTGAGCCATGCGATAGCATAAAAGAGCGTGCATTATTCTGAATTAGAGAAATTATTTGATGTCAGTGCTTTCATATTCTTTTGGGGATGTTTTAAAAGACCTTGGCATATTTGTCTGGGTGTCCCATGTTTGGAAGAGGTTAATTGATTTCTAGAGAATGGCTGCCCTTTTATTTGATACCTTTGTTCAGGACTCATCATGACAAAGGATGCTGATGAGGTAATTCATGATTCTTAGCAGCTTTGAAATTGTGATTGTTGAACTGAAAAGCTTTGCACAGAAGCCTTTCCATATTCAAACAATTCCAATTTGTATGCTTTTTTTTAACTGTTCTACATGACAGATCTGTACCTAAAATTGAGACCTCAAATAATTTGCCTACGTAGTCATTTGACTAAAAGGAAATAAGCGATCTAATTGTATCAGCTCTCTTGTTTTAGGAATTGAAATGCATCAGCGGTTGTCAAACATAGAAAGGAATTGGCCTTACTACTTTGGATTTGGTTTGCCCTTGGCTTTCCTCACAGCAATGCAGTCCTCATATATTATCAGGTAATTTGACCTGAGGGACTTGATGGGGACTAGTAAAAATAAAGACTCATTGTAGGGAGCACCTTCCGTATACCTGCTCCTGTGGTAGGCATTTTCCATTCTTACTTGGCTGTCAGGTCTGTAGACTTTTTCTCCTTGACAGATAGTCAGATGTTTGTCAGCATTAAAATCTAGCCTGCATGATTCTATATGCCATACATACTCTTTTATGTTGCCTCCTGGAGCAGTGTTAAAAGTAGCTGGTGCTTAGGAAAAAAAAAATTTTGGAGATGTTTGAAACATTAAGATTTCATCAAGCCATGATGTTAGCTCTGGAGGCAAGGGAACTTTGGGCTTCTAATATCCCTTCCAAAGTCTTGGCTGTCATGAAGGTGACTATTTCCCTTCTGTTTACAGTGGCTGCCTCTTCTCCATCCTCTTTCCTCTATTCATTATCAGCGCCAATGAAGCAAAGACCCCTGGCAAAGCATAGTAAGTATTAGCCAGTGTTGGCTAAAATGTAGTAACTAATGTAAGCTATCTGTCTGTGTAAAGAATCAGGGCTATAACATCACAATTATAGGAATGAGAGTTTTTAAAAAATAGCCTCTTACATTGTAGGAAAACATTAATACACACTATGATGAGAGAAAAACACTTGTGGAATGGATTCGCCAATTTTTCCCAGGCATATATGCACATTACATTACAAAGAATTACACATATTCTTAAAATTTAACAGTTCACTGAACATAAGGCACTTGTAAACACCTATGGGTAAGTCCATTTTTGTAAAAATGGCCAACTTTTTATAGTGGGCTATGTGATCTGGCTACATGAGTTTATTGATAGTAAAAGTACTATGAATCTTCAGCAATAATAATAGCACTCCTGAAGTTTAAAAAAAAAAGTTTAATCTTTGATCAGTTTTGCTGAAGTCAGTGAGGATACATGTATTAAACATTTCAGATCTGCTTTGGGTGTTGGCTCACTCTTGCTCACTGTAATTGCAGGCTCTGTAATTGGCTGTCCCCTGAAACTCTTGAAAATGGAGCACATGTAGTATTTGATGTCTTCAGACATGGCTTGATGTTTATACTCTGAAGTCAGCCATAGACAAGTACTCCTCAAATCAGAATTAACCTGAAATGTAACTTTATTTCCTCGAAGCCTGACACTCCCAGTGGTGATTCTGTCGTACTCATGACCGCATCAGACCCAGTGCATTCTTTGGTTGCTGCCTGTTAACCCATGTGTCTAGTGTCTGTCCTTCCTTGATCGAATTTCAGTTCTCCTATTTCCCCCTATGTCATTTAAAAATGTTTAACCTGGGGCGCCTGGGTGGCGCAGTCGGTTAAGCATCCGACTTCAGCCAGGTCACGATCTCGCGGTCCGTGAGTTTGAGCCCCGCGTCGGGCTCTGGGCTGATGGCTCGGAGCCTGGAGCCTGTTTCCGATTCTGTGTCTCCCTCTCTCTCTGCCCCTCCCCCGTTCATGCTCTGTTTCTCTCTGTCACACAAATAAACAAATGTTGAAAAAAAAAAAAAAAAATAAAAAAAATAAAAATGTTTAACCTAAATTTTTAAGTTTAAAAATAAGCTGTCAAGTAGTGAAAACACGAAGTTTGAGCAGCTGGGGATCTAACAAGTCGGGTCTCTTGCCTTTCAGCCTTTTCCAGTTGCGCCTCTTCTCCTTGGTGGTTTTCCTAAGCAACAGACTTTTCCACAAGACGGTCTACCTGCAGTCTGCCCTGAGTAGCTCAACCTCTGCCGAGAAATTCCCTTCACCGCATCCGTCTCCTGCCAAACTGAAGGCTGCTGCAGGCCACTGAGTCGCCTGCCACCCAGAGGGGATGGGCGGGATCAGAAGGGGGCTGTAGGAGCTCCTTTCCTTGTCACCTCCTCTGCCAGAGAAGGCAGGACCCGCTCTGCCAAGGGCCCGCTGCATACTCCCTTCTCTCTGAGGAATTGGGATTTTTGTCTCTGGTGCGCATAAGGCAGAATCTTCCTGACACCAGTATGTGGATTTCTAACATCGGTGGGTCTGAATGGACCACAGGTTTTTCTGCAGCTCTTTTCTAGCACTTGCCAGCCCCCGTGCCTGGACTGATTTGAATACTTTTTTTTCTCCCTGTGCCATTTACCCTCCCAACTCCCCTTCTTCCTGCCTTCCACCACCCTCTGGATGAATGGATTTTGTAATTCTAGCTGTTGTATTTTGTGGACCTGTTACTTTTTTGTTGTTTTTCTGTGAAGCACATATATTGGATGTGGGAGGCGAAGGAGCATCTCATTTGCTCCGGGTCACTCCCTTTATAGCCATCACTGTCTTGTTTCTTGTAACTCAGGTTAGATTTTGGTCTCTCTTGCTCCACTGCAAAAAAAACAAGCCCGAAGAGATGGGACAGGAGGAAAGACCTCACAGCCAGATCTGCTGGGTCTTGAGGAGTGATTTTCTTCCCCTTGAAGGGGAAAAGTTTTTTTCCACTGGTACACAGAAAGTTCCCCAGCTGTAGGGAAGTACCAGTTTCGGACAAGTGCCACACAACACCGAATGCTCAGAGAACATGCACTTTTAACTCTGGAGGTCCGAAGTGTGCTGCTGGCCGCTGCCGGGTCTGTCTGGAATTTCAAAGGAATCCTGGGTGCTGCAGATAGGAACTGAAGGGGTAAATTTATTAAACCCATTAAGCCTGTTATTGGTTGGTGTTTTCCTGTCATTTTAGAGACTAAATATGGGGGAGGGGGGCAGATGTCAAAACACTTGTCCTATTTTAAAATGTCACAATTAAACGTGAGCTGGTTTCCCACAAGTGTGTAATGGTTGGATTTTCAACAGTCATCACCTTGTGAAACGTTAAAAAAGGTTAAGTGGAACACACGACTTTGCCTTGGATAATTTGGTTGTGGTTTTGAGAGATTAGTCCTAAAAAATGTTCCCTAAGAAAGTGCGGAGTGTGTGATTATAATCATGTTTACATCTTGTGAAAGAATTGGGAATTGTTTATTTTAAAGTCTGTATGTATCTATGTCTCCTGCATATTCAGGAAGGGTGGGAGAGGCTTTTAGGTTTCAGTGTATTGAACGTTTGCATTTGGCAAGAGGTTAGACATTTGCTTCACAGAAACGTTTATTACATACAAGACAGTAAGGATGTAAAATTCATTGCTGAGAGACATAAAAGCAAGTTCAAAGTATAGAAGGTTTTAAAATAATGGGCATCTTGGAAGTGGGTGTTGTTACCAGATTGTGCACAAGAAAATGTAAATGACATAGTTAAAATAAGGTTTCCTTCCAATATTCATCTGTGATATCTTTGGTCATTTGACAGTAGTATTGCAGAGAAATACTTCCAGGTTGCTGTGGGGGTGGTTTGATAAAGATCTTCATATTTCATCAGCAATTACCTTATTTAAGATTAAATTTTTACAATTGGCATCGTTATTTAAGTGGCCGCATCTTTGCTGCCTGAAATTTGTGTTTGTACAACTAAGCTGGTCTTAGTTTGGAAGGGTGGGAGGTTAAGTGGATGAAGTGATGCTTATCCAGCACTGTGACTGGCTATAGAAGATGCTTAAAGATGGAAGTGAGGAATCCACAGTTTTATTAGTGTAACTGAGAGGCCAGGCCTGCACAAATGATAGATTAGACATATCTATAACAGAAATCTGGCCACAGTCTCAAATGAGATGCACGCAAAAGCAGTATGAACTTTTCATACATTTTCATTAGGGGGAGACCTGAGGGCAGTGGTTAGCAAATTAGAATTGAAGGGAGATTAGGCTGTGTTTTTGCCAAGTTCCGAATGGCAATTTGAGGCAGATGAACAGTAACAAAGTAAGGGAGATCACATTGCTAAACATGAGAGAGCTTGAGTTTTAACCATGCAACCAGGAGGATCTAAGGATTCCTGTTCACAAAAGTTCTTTTTAGGAATAGGCATCATGACTTTGACAGGTATTTGTGCTTCAACACACTACCCTTGTACCCCATCTAGCGCTTAGTCACCCATTGTAGCAGCTTGAAGAATTAGAAAGTGGACACTTCAGACCTCAGGATGTTTTTAAATTGGTTGGAAAGTTTTAAATGGACAGATTCACATTCCTACTTAATTGCTCTGCACTTAGGAAGGGGCCAAGAGAAAGTTGAAGCGGGATTGAGAAGAGGACAGCCAGTGGTTGGAGGTTTTTGAACCACCTTAAAAGAATAACAACTGTGGGAATAAAAAAGGCAACTGTAGTTGTTCACTGTCTATTCAGTTTCTCTCCACTTACATTTTCTGATAACAGTAGTACATTCAGCTTCTACGTTCATGTGTTTACCTCTATCCAGACCGTTCTCGTAAAGGCTATCAGCTCAGTAGTACAATGGAATTTCCCTCCTTCCCCATTTACATTCCCCCTATGCTATAATGACCCACAGAAGTTAAAAGGAAGCTGACTACAGTGTAACTTCTGCCTTTTAAATAATGAGAGCCATGCGTCACTGAAATATTTTGGAGTCCATAGAGAGTCCATAGAGCCAATGGATGACTTCATCATGTAACATTTGACTGCCTTCTCTGTTGGGCACTGTGCAAAGTACTGGGGATTCAAGGATGATCCAGAAAGATGATTACTGTCCTCTTGGACAACAGTGCTATGAAAGAGAGTGACAAGTGATCAAAATTTTAAAAATAACATGTTCAAATAGCTGCTACTTTCCATAGGTCTCAAAGCTGGAAAAAACACTGGATTTCAGAGAATCTCAGTGGGATGAGAGGTTAGGCTGTACACTCAGCCTCCCATTCTTGTATTCATTCTCTGATTTCAAATTTAAATGTTTTGTAGTGCTTTCAGACCCATGGAGAATATAAATAGTTCTGGATCAGCATCAGAAGCCTCTCTGGAGCTTTCCCAAAATACACGTAAGACCACCTGGACCTGGGGACGTCTGGGTGGCTCAGTCAGTTAAGCTCTGACTTCGGCTCAGGTCGTGATCTTGCAGTTTGTGAGTTTGAGCCCTGTGTCAGGCTCTGCTCTTGACAGTGCAGAGCCTGCTTGGGATTCTCACTCCTCTCTATATCTCCCCCACTCATGCTTTCTCTCTCAAAATAAATAAAAGACCACATGGACCTGGAGGAAAGTTAATTCCAGAACAAAAGGTAACTTTAAAAATTCTAATAACTACTTTCATAGAAATTTGGGAACTTGGCATCCATAAAGTAAGAACACTTACTTATGAAAAGGGGGTGAAATAGGAAAGTTCTTAGACATTAAAGCAATTGTGAAAATGAGATGGCTTATAAAAGTTACACAGAGATGGCACAAAAACAGACACATAGACCAATGGAATAGAATAGAAACCCCAGAACTAGACCCACAAACGTATGGCCAACTAATCTTTGACAAAGCAGGAAAGAACATCCAATGGAAAAAAGACAGTCTCTTTAACAAATGGTGCTGGGAGAACTGGACAGCAACATGCAGAAGGTTGAAACTAGACCACTTTCTCACACCATTCACAAAAATAAACTCAAAATGGATAAAGGACCTGAATGTGAGACAGGAAACCATCAAAACCTTAGAGGAGAAAGCAGGAAAAAACCTCTCTGACCTCAGCCGTAGCAATCTCTTACTCGACACATCCCCAAAGGCAAGGGAATTAAAAGCAAAAGTGAATTACTGGGACC